GTGTCTTCCTTTACATATACAGCAAAATATATGCAATAAATATATGTAATATAATGTAAATATGTATATGTAATATAATATGTAATATGTAATATAATATGTAATATGTAAATAAATGTATTATGTATATGTAATTTGTAATATAATGTAAATATATGTAATAGGTATATACAATATGTAATATGTAGATATGTGTAATATGTATATATAATATGTAATATGTAATATAATGCAAATATATGTAATATGTATGTGCATAGATGAAAACAAATGACTAATACATGAGTATTTACTCACCACCTATTTATCTCTTATCAGGAAGATCACAGTCTGAAACAGATAACTGAAAAATGTTACTGGAGTCAAGGCCCATGTAAACAAGCGTCCGCGCTCCGACTAATCCGATCCTGCTGAGACCGTTATAACAGGAACGCAGTTTCGTGAACTAGATGTTTATAAATGATGAAATCGAGCAATGAATGAATCTAAAACCATACTCGTGAGCATAAGGTATGAAAACAGATTGAGCAGATTGACCTAGTTCAACAGCTGATACATGTATAAAGAAATTATATCATTTTTAATGGAATTAATCAGGATATGTAACTTCAACGAGTATCAAACAAGAATGGGATGATATGCGGATCTATCACCATGGATGATGAATATAACAAGTTAACCGGGTTGGATTTCGGATTTATAACATAACACTTTTGATGGTGTTACAAATACAATGAATGACTCAAAATAAAAACTGAATTATGATTAATACGTACGTGTATAAGATGCAAATAATGGACAAATTAACACAATCCGCACGAACCTAATAATGCAACATAAATATGAATACAAGTAAATGACCTGACACAAGGACAAGGGTTAATGATTCACAGTAATTTCACACGACGTAAAATGATGTGTTTTACTGTACTGCCTTGCAAGATTGGTTTTGTCAGTCCATATGATCTTGATACATGGACATACCACTTCAGTTTGCACTTTTGTACAGTGGTCAAGAGGTTTTCATCGGATCAGATTTCTCGTTGGATCCTGTTGTGGACTTCATTGGTTACATGGTCAATGTATGAGATGCCCAAGATCTTGCAGTAGCATCTCAGTTCAAAGGTTTGTATCCTTTATAGATCTTCTTATGTAAGAATCCACGTTTCACAAACATACAGAAATAAATAAATAAATAAATAAATAAAATATAAATAAATAAATAAATAAATTTGATTCCTTTCAAGCAAGTATTAACAGAAATCAGGTAAAGTTCTAGAAAAATATTCCTCTATTGTTCCTCTGAATGAGTAGAACAGAGGCAAAATCATGTACAGTTGACTTCTTATTTATTCTCAAAATGGTCAATACTTGTGAAGTCCAATTATCGAAGATGGACGATAGAACTAGGAAGAAAAAGGCATGGCGTTAGGGACAAAGGGACATGGGTATAGGAGGAAATGGGCATGATTCTTTAACCGAGAGTTTTAACTTTACCTAAGATACATTTATTACCAGCGGAGACCATTTATCTAACTTTAGTGCATCTCAGGAGTGTCTATCCAGATGGCTACATCAGCCATGCGTCTGTCCAGGTGGCAACATCAACCATGCGTCTATCCAGATGGCTACATCAGCCATGCGTCTGTCCAGGTGGCAACATCAACCATGCGTCTATCCAGATGGCTACATCAGCCATGCGTCTGTCCAGGTGGCTACATCAGCCATGCGTCTATCCAGATGGCTACATCATCCATGCGTCTGTCCAGGTGGCTACATCAGCCATGTGTTTATCCAAGTGGTTACATCAGCATGCGTTTATTCAAGGTTGAGAATATTTATTAAACTTCAATGCATGTTAAGTGGGTACTTCAGACAAACATTTCTAAGGTGGAGAATATTTATATAGCTTAAATGCATATCAAATGAATACGTCAGCCAGACATCTTTGCTAGCTCTTATATAAACTTGAAACCATGTAAAATAAAAACGGGGAGATGGTTTTGTTGTTGTTTCCATGAAGTGATATCATGAACATGTAATGTTACGGACTGTTACGAGCTGTTACGGACTGTTACGGACTGTTACGGGGAGTGAATATGATTGTTAATATCTACAAATCAAATGACTTGCTCTACATCTCTTTTCTCCGCACGTTCTAATAATCACGTGATTTACTCTACAGCTAATTTATCATGCGCGGAGATCTCTTACATAAATGTAATATTGATAGGTTTTGGCTAACTAAATGTACATGGGATTATTAATCAAGCCTTTATTCGATAAAACTTTTTATTTACACTTTATGCATCACACATCAGTCAAATGGTAATTTTTCATCTGTATAAAACATTGAACATGAACTTTCATGCATTTGATAGAAAGAAATTTAAAATTCTTTGAACCCGAACCACATACAAGATCCTTACGCTTTTTACTTTGGCTCTGTTTTGACAATATTTTGTACATAATGTTTCAAATCTGAATTGTATCCTCATGGCTTTCGTGAACCCAACAAGAAAACCATGTATCCCTTCCATCTCTTTTGTGGAACTGTTAAGAAAGTAACTTCAGAACGTAGTCAACGACCTTCTCGCTGCTTTGTATGGTGGAAAGATTCCACTCCTCACTCTCCTTGACTTGACTGCAGCATTTGACACTATAGACCATGATATATTACTTCACCGTCTCCAGCATGTATTTGTCATTCACGATACAGCCTTACTATGGTTCAAGTCCTACATTGTCAACAGGACACAAATTGTGTCCGCAAATGGAAAACACAGTTGATCTATGCTGTGGTGTTCCACAGGAGTCTGTTCTTGGACTAGTTCTCTTCATTCTGTACACTCAGCCACTCTTAAGTGTCATAAATCATCATCCAGTGTTTCACCAATTGTATGCTAATGACACCCAAATATACAAATCTAGCCATCCAGCTGAAGTTGAAGCTACCATAGAGAGGTGCATTTCTGTGTGAAATCATGAATGACATGTAACAAGCTGCAGATGAATGATGATAAAACTGAAGCCATCCTGATTACAAAACAAAGACTTTCTTATTCACAACCTTTACCTTAGACAATAAATATTAGCAACACAAACATTAATTTCAAGTAGTCAGTACGGAACCTTGGTGTCACTCTTGACAGTACTCTCTCATTGCATCAACATGTCATGAACATATGCCAGGCTGCATATCTTGAGCTGAGACGTATCAGTTCCATTCGCAAGTATCTGTCAGTTGATGCCACAAAAACATTTGTCTGTTCCTCAGTACTTTCAAGACTGGACTATTGCAATTCAATTCTGTCTGGTTCATCTCAATATCTACTTTAGAAACTTCAAAAAGTTCAAAACACTGCTGCTCGGATCGTTCTTAGAGTACCACGATCAGAGCATGCCTCTCCGCTGCTCTGTACCCAACACTGGCTATCCATACGATCCAGAATTAAACACAAATTTTGTTTTCTGTGCTACGTTTCAATGATGAGCTCTGGTCCAACATGCCTATCTGATCTCACCATGTCTATACACCTGCAAGATGCTTACGCTCCTCTTCTGACACTCGCATTCTCAATATTCCCACTATGAAGTTGAAATCATATGGGCAGCGTTCTTTTGCATACCAGGGCCCAGCAACGTGAAATGAATTGCCCATTGCACTTAGACACAAAGACATAGAGATCTCATTTAAAAGCGCCTTTAAAACCCATCTATTTCAACTGCAAGAACATGCATAATGACCTAATAATGTAGTCTTTTTAACGTATCCTTACCTTAAAAATTTACAGCATGTTTTCTGTTTCTAATTTTGTGGTATTTTTTAATGTTTTTTTTAAAATTTTTGTAATCATTTCATTATATATCGTTTGTTTTTCTTATTCTTTTTTAAGCGTTGTCAAATGTTGTAAAGAGCTTAGAGCTTCTAAAGATTAGGCGCTATATAAAGTCCTCGTTATTATTATTATTATTATTATTATTATTATTATTATTATTATTATTATTATTATTATTATTATTATTATTATTATTATTGAAACAACGACAACAAAAATGTTTGGGTAATAGACTAAATCCAGAACATCGGAGTTCTATGATGTCAAGATGAAAAGAGGACGACCAATGAAAATCCACGACATATGATATCAAGGTGATAGGAGGACGACCAATGAAAATCCACGACATATAATATAAAGATGATAGGAGGACGACCAAAGAATATTTGTGACCTATGAGATCAAAATAAGAGAACAGCCAAAGAAGATCCACGACATATATCAAGATGAGAAGAGGACGACCAAAGAAGATCCACGATATATGATATCACGATAAGATGACGACCAAGAAGATCAACGACATATTATTATATCAAGATGACAAGAGGACGACCAAGGAAGATCCACGACATATCATATCAAGATTACAAGAGAACGACCAAGGAAGATCCACGACATATCATATCAAGATGACAAGAGGACGACCAAGGAAGATCCACGACATATCATATCAAGATGAAGAGAGGACGACCAAAGAAGATCCACGATGTATGATATCAAGATGATAAGAAGACGAACAAAGATCCACTACGAGGCGAAGGAGAGTACAACCACCTCCTGTAACTCAAGAGAAATGATTCAAAGCCTCTTCAAGTCTCCTTTAAAATTGGAACACTGTATCTTGTGAACATTTTGCACAGAGTTGTTCCCCATGGCGCAGTCTTATTCACACTAAAGGGAATTGCGCGCGCGTGTTTATGTGTGTGTGTGTGTGTGTGTGTGTGTGTGAGAGAGAGAGAGAGAGAGAGAGAGAGAGAGAGAGAGAGATTTTGATTTTTACTTAGCTTTAACAATTTTTGGGACATCATACCGCAGACATGTAGCATGATGTCCCACCCAGTCACAATATTCTGACACTAGGCCGACCAGTCATAACACTAACCTCTTAATGCTGGGCGCCTAGCGATCAGCTGTTAGTACCATTCTTAAAAGTCTATGGTAAGACTCGGCCGTGGTTCGAACCCGCGATCTCCCACATCCTAGGCGGACGCTCTAAGCACTAGGCAACTGAATCAGTGAAGGAAACTGCAGAGGCAGTGCAGAAACGTGGAACACCATAAGTCTCAGAATTGCAGCACGTTCGCTGTCCACCAAAAAAGTACATATCCTAGAAACCAGTCATTTTAGTAATGACGTGGTCATCTTTGAGCATGAAAAATGAACAACTACTGGAGATATCGTTCTACTTCATGGTCACTTACAGTATCCATGTTATGTCACACTTACTGTATCCATGTTATGCCACACTTACTGTATCCATGTTAAGCCACACTTACTGTATCCATGTTATGCCACACTTACTGTATCCATGTTAAGCCACACTTACTGTATCCATGTCATGCCACACTTACTGTATCCATATTATGCCACACTTACTGTATCCATGTTATGTCACACTTACTGTATCCATGTTATGTCACACTTACTGTATCCATGTTATGCCACACTTACTGTATCCATGTCATGCCACACTTACTGTATCCATGTTATGCCACACTTACTGTATCCATGTTATGTCACACTTACTGTATCCATGTTATGCCACACTTACTGTATCCATGTTATGCCACACTTACTCTATCCATGTTATGCCACACTTACTGTATCCATGTTATGTCACACTTACTGTATCCATGTTATGTCACACTTACTGTATCCATGTTATGCCACACTTACTGTATCCATGTTATGTCACACTTACTGTATTCATGTTATGCCACACAGCGTCCTCTATTCCAGTTACAAAGATTAAGATTATTATAACCTTGTCATTAGAATAATGTTAACAGACCTACAATAATCAACACAATCACATATCAATAGAACTGAGATTAAATTTATTAATTCTGTTTTCTATCCAAATATCCTTATTGACTGCCTTATACTGCATTTATGGCACGAATATTTCTCATTAGTGCATATATTTGGATTAATAAATTTATTTGAGGTAAGTCAGGGATATCTAATAAATAAATCTATCCGAGATTGAAATAAAACACAATCATATGGCAAATAACAGAGGGATCGTGCATTGAATGGATTTATTAGGCCAAATGTTAAACAGTGTTAACGACTTATGTAATATTTGTTTTTAACTACCCTTAGCGCGTTGGACTCTTTGAATCTTTGTCGATGGCAGTTACAAAACAGAAACTGAGAAGACAAATTATAAACAAAAGAACGCGATGAATTTACAGACGTTGCATGATTGTATATTTAATGCAATTATGAAACTGTTAGATAACACGCCTAATTGGGTCGAAACCTGAATGATAAAAGTATAAAATGTATGTAAAAAAAGTATATAAAGTAGGCATAAATGTACACAAAATATGCATAAAAATAACAAAGTATGCATACAAAGTATGCATAAATGTACACAAAATATGTATGCATTTACACATTGTATGCATAAATGTATACGAAGTATGTAGAAATGTATTAAACCGCCAAGAAAACTTTAAGAGAACAAGGCAAAACAACAGATTTAATGAAGAAATGTAAATATTGGTTTTCTTGCACAAAAGTACAATACGACAGTTAGTGCATAGAATAAACATTGATTGACCTTATGAACTTGCAAATGGTTTTGGAAAACTCAAAATATCCTTGTTTCGTTGAATGTTTATCAGTCGCTAAGGTGATAATAACTTCTTACTTATGTGCCTAAGAAAGAAAAGCACAGTTGTGTCTGCAAGAAATGTAAAAATGGAAATAAAAACTATTTTTTTCCATTGATAATACGCATGCTTTTTCTGGAGGAAACAAACCATTCTTTTTACAGAAATTGTATCCTCTTTTTAAAGTTCAGTTATTCTGAAACATGAAACAGCGTGTCACATAACCATTGAATATTTTAGAAGGTTCATAGCTTGCTTGATATAATTCTTATTCCTACCGACACATAAATCAGCACAGACATCTGTTAAAGACGATTCAACCGTGATGTCGTCAATAAGATAATTGGTGCAAATAATTTTGCACTAATCTCAACTTGGAAGACAGAAATTCATGCATTTCGTCTGGGACATTATGGACGTAGCAGCATCAAGGTTAAAAATGTCATAGTAAACGTTACGCTAGAGAATTATGGTCGGGTTGGAAACACCAAGGTTCTCCTCTTTCTCTGATGTATTTGAGTCCAGTATGTCCTCCAGTCCTGGAATGATTCGCACCATATCGTCCGCGCTAGAATTTCTCCGCATGTAAAGCGTTATGTACACCACGGCTGTAGACTCAGAGAGGATAAAGGCGATACCGGCGAAATAAAACGACCAGCCATAATCATATGTAAACTCCGCCTTCCCGTCCTTCTCTTTAGACCTGTGTCCAACTTCATCGTTTATCGCAGATATGTACAGTGTTATGCCCACAGCCAAAGACAAACCTGTGTAGTATAAATAAATACAAACGAATTAAAAAAATTTGTATCAATGTTTATTCCCAACACATTTTTAAAATGCAATTTTTAAACCTTATCTTAATTAGATGAGCTGCAATCAAAATAATGTTGAATATAATCTATGCTAATTACAAGCATACATATTAAGGGTACCGAAAGTCAGAGTGATTTTGGTGTGAAAAGTTTCCCATCAATTGATATTAAATTATAACCTTAAGTTTTGAAACAACGAAACGAATTCATGCTCGCTATAATTGCAGTTGTACCATTTGATAAATGAAGGTAAGACTTTCATTGTCAGAACATAATCATGTGATCAGACCTACTGTCGTTTATTTCTGTACAAATTGTACGGAAAAATACTTTATACTTCTAAAAAAAAGTTACGTGCAAAAAAACTAATGTAAACACTGCATGCCTTTGAAAAGAAAAAAGGATGGGTTTATATTTTATTATTAATAAATCTTTATAACTTTTCTGAGATAATTATTTTATAAGGTTAGCAAAAATCTTGCAAACTCAAAAGCTGCCGAAAAGAACATTGGGGCTATGTTGTACAGCACTTTCACCTCAGGTCCTTACATACTAATTTAAAACATTAAGTAAATGTGTATGGGGATAGGGAGGGATTGTGGTCAGAGACCAACAATATAACCATTGGATTCACATTCCTACACTATAAGACGCCGACCGTGATAGTTACAATGGGGGAGGGATAACGCCACTCTCCCATCGTAACTCTCATGGTCGCTGTCTTGCACTGTTTGACTATTAGACATGACATTAACCATTTATCGATAGTCTTAATTTCATTTGAGTGTAACCTCTGAACGTATACTAAACTGAATGAAGGGAAAATAAATTTGAAGAAACGAATATTGGTCACTAACATGTCTGGACTATAAGAATTCAGCCAAGTCACAATGAACTCATGAGAACATCAAACCCAAGAGTCATTTGTTTATCACAAAAAAATCCTTAGCTTTGCATATTGAACTCCTCCTTACATCACATGTGCTAATTTACATAAAAGATTAATACCATGCTGTGTAATGTTTAAAACCCTTTGATTGGTAGAATATTTTATTTTGACGTAGCTATTACGTTGCAGATGGAGACTCTCCTGTTCTGTAAAAAGCTACGCAATAGACACCATTAGCAAGAATTCATACGTTAAAATAAAGCTCTAGCACTTATAGGAAAAATCTATAACAAAAACAAAATGACAATTAAAAATATAGATACATTATAAAAATTGCAGTTATTGGGTTTAATGTTGTTATTTCTCCGAGTTTATTGTGGTATAAACTGTTAGCTGCCGAATCAAGCAGCTTACATAATGACCTTCGGGCGTTATTTCTTGTGTGATTCGGCAGCAGGCAGTGTATACCACAAAAAATCAGACCCACCCCATAAAATTCTAAGTGAATAATTTAATAAAACGGTTTTCGCTACAAAAAATGACCTTCAATGGCAAGAGAGAAGTTGACGACGCTATATATAATATGACCTTCAGTAGCAAAAGAGAAGTTGAAGAAACTATACAAAATATGACTTTCAGTGGCAAGAGAGAAGTTGACGACGCTATACAGAATATGACCTTTAGTGGCAAGAGAGAAGTTGACGACGCTCTACACATCTTTAAAGTCCTGAAACTTTATTGTCTACAAATTATGAAGGAAAAAAATATAATTATCTGAATTGCTTGCCGTATTTAGGAACTAGAACCTTTGGCAATATTTTCCATTAATTTAGAGTTTGATATTTGTATCTCCTTAAGTGTTCGATAGATATTTGTATCTCCCTAAGTGGGTATTTGTGTTCGATTGATATTTGTATCTCCCTAAGTGTTCGATTGATATTTGTATCTCATTAAGTGTTCGATAGATATTTGTATCTCCCTAAATGGGCATTTGTGTTCGATTGATATTTTTAATTATTCTAAGTTGGTATTTGTGTTCGATTGATATTCCTATCTCCCTGAGTGGGTATTTGTTGTATGATTGATATTCGTATGTCCCTAAATGTTTTTTTGTTCGATTGATATTTGTATCTCCCTAATTGAGTGTTTGTTGTTGTCGTTATAGGTTTTAACGCTATTTTTTCAGAACAAGATAGGCTATACATGGCGGCCAGTATTAATGGTGGAGGAAGAACCCTGGTAAACCCAGGGAAGAACAACCGACCCACGAGAAACTACTGGCAGGCTTTCTCGCTTACCCACGTTAGCTGTGTCTGGACTCGAACTCACGCAGTGAGAGGTGAGATGGCAGTGATCCGTAACGGGCAGCGCTTTAGACCACCCGGCCACTCAGGGCCCTGTGAGTGGTTGTGTTCGATTGATAGTTGTATCTCCTTAAGTGGGTGTTTGTGCTCGATTGATAGCGTATCTCCCTAAGTGGGAATTTATGCTTGATTGATAGTCGTATCTCCCTAAGTGGGAATTTATGCTTGATTGATAGTCGTATCTCCCTAAGTGGGAATTTATGCTTGATTGATAGTCGCATCAACCTAAGTGGGATTTTACTTATGTTTCAGTGGGAATTTTATACTTGACTGAACCAATTCTACTTTTTACCAGTGCATAGGTTGTTTAAATATCCAAAAATGAC